GACCATTATTCTCCAAACAGGAAAACCAGCTCGCTCCCCAAGTGCCCAGTACTCAGATCTACTTTAAAAAAAAAAAAAACAAAAACGGTCCCTTCTATGAATAAACTGGTTTCTGATTGGTCAGAACACACAACAGGGTTGGGCTTTAAGCCAATCGGAGTTCTGGTGGTTGGGAATGGACCTGAGCAACTGCCAGTCAACTGGCCCAACATTCATCAAAAATCACTTGATTTATCCTCTATATGGGTCTATGACCCAGGTAATGTGGAGAAGGAGAAGGGGAAGACCTTCAGTGTGCATTCTATTTTTTTTAATCTAATAATTTTCAGCAATTCTGAAACTTTAAAGTAAGTATGTTCAAAAAATTTGTTGCTATTCAGGGTTCAGAACTCCTAGCTCTAACCCTCCCACAAACCTCACTGATGTTGCCTTTAGCTCTTGATTATCTTTAGTTCCTGTCTTACTACGCCAACAAATACAAGTGGAGTTGGGGAACAGTCTTTATAAATATATATTCTTGGGGGAGGGTGTGTGTGTGTCATATACGACATCCTATCCGAAGCAGGCATGAGAAATTTTCATTTATACAGCAATAAACTGAACAGAAGGATTATATTTTTACACATATATGTACAGACACATATATTATAGATTGTTCCAGTTCAATTTAGCGCTATGGGGTGACTGATAGTCTTTCATGCCTGCTTTTTGAGGAGGTAAATACTTTATTTGCTCAAAGTAAGATGACTTCACTAGTATGGTGACTGGCTTAGTGAACCAAATCCAGGTATCCTGATTCTTAAGGATATAACTCTCCTCATTTCTCCCTGGCTTAGGATCACAGACAGCGTCATAGATTTGGAACTGAAAGACACTCTAGAGGCACTATAGGTCTAACCCTATCATTTTACAGTTAAGTAAGCTGTTTGAATGACCACCTGCTTTCAGATGTGTGTAAACAAGAATCTTTTCTTTAAATAAGGAAGAGAAGGAACAACTCAAAGCCCAAACTTACCCTTATAATACCTCATTGAGAGGCCAATCTGCTGCACAGCCCTGGAAGCATCAAACAACAGCTATGCTGCTTTACCACAGAGCCCTCAAGGTAGACTGGATGTCAACATGGGTAGCCAACTCAAACAGTCAATGTGAATCCGAGAACATGAACCACTGGAATTTTAAGCTTGTATCAGCTCCTTGATTCCTAATAGGATGAATCTCTTCTAGAGGCAAGAGGAACCAAGAATCTCGGTCCATTTTGTAGCAGATATTGGCCTTTATGACTAAGAGTGCTTTAATTTCAGCTTCTTCAAAAAAGAACACTGCCAGAGGTACAGAGCACAAAATAAGTAGTTTCATTTTCCCTTGGAGACACCCGGCTAAGAAAATGAAACCCACTGCCCATTTTAAACATGACAGCTACTGATGCCTAGACACCACAAAGCTCAAGAAAACTCTTCTTCCTTTGCCCCCTACTGGGACAGTGACAGTTCAGCAGCAAAGGCAGGTGGCAATGATGAAAAGATAATTTTTTCCTTGAGCCAAAGGAGTGCCTGGTCCTGGTGGACATACAAAGCACATCCATGTACACAAACACTGCCTCACAAAGTCAGCTCAAGGGATGTTTCCTATTTTGTTCCCAGGTGGAACTGACACTGGACCTAGAACTGAACCTCCAAGAGCCTGGCTAACCATGTCAGCATGCAAAAGGGAATTTCTAAGAGCTGTCCCCAGTCCCTACCTCTACCTCCCCCCCCATGTGTATAAGTGGGAGATACAGGTGACTGGGAGGAGACAGGGTACAACTTGTACGAATACAAAAACCTCCTAAGATGCTGAACTCTTCACCCCCCACCTCATTTTCAGCCCTAAATCTCCAAACTTCAAAGGAAGGCTGGACTGTCCTACAGGTCACCTAAGCAGGTCTACAGGCTAGGAAGAAGGACTATTGCTTCCCATTATGCAATTCCTTAGTAGAAGAATGAGTTACATTTGTTCTAACTTCTCAACTGATTAGGGGACGAATGTTTAGATCAACGCCAAGAATCTGAGGCCAGCCTTTACCGGTCCTTTTCAACTACGATAATCTGAGCCCTGAGTAAAGTAAACTGCTTGCAGGAGCTTCTGTGTCTCCCATCATATCAAAATCTCAGGATGTGAACTTTGGAAATGCATCCTTTGATCTGAGTGAAAATTTAGGAAAGGGTAAATATTAAACTGAACACATTGAGGGTATGCTTATGGATAGGGACTGGATCACAGCCAGAGTCACCTGAGTCCCATAATCTCCACCCCATAACATAGAAGCATCCAAAATGGGGCCATGACTGGGAGTCATAGAAGGGGAAAGGCAGTTAAAATGAAGAGTCATAAAATAATGTGGGAAGAATCCAGGCTTTCTCAGAAAAACCTCCCACTGGGCTGCAGCAGCTGGGGCTGGTCCTCTTTGCCCACCTCAGGCCATTGCAGCTGCCTGACCCACAGGGCCAACTGGCCCCCAAGTAGGCTGACTTCTGGGCTCCCTCCAGCAGGGGTCTTTCCCAGGACACTTGGGGAGGGACGGGCAAAAAGGATCCCCAACAATCAATGTCCCCCACCCCAGGCCTGTGGGGGTGGGAGGTGGGTATGGTATAACCTAGTATCGCAGAGCAGGCTAGGGTCGGGGGAATATGTAGGACGCGCAGGATCACCGAACTGGTTAAGGGAGGGGTACCCAGTGGGGGGAGGGGGATGGGGGGGTCTGGCAGAAGAGGTTGCCAAGACCCAGAGAGGCCAAGGGCCTCGCCCAAGGTCACACAGCAAAAGCATCGGAGCCCAGCTGTGACTCTGTGGGTCCGGGAGCTCCAGGTTGAGGCTCCCTCCTCCCCTTCCTAAGACCTCGGGCCGGAAACCCAGGATTGAGGAGTGTCTCGGTGGGGGGCTACTGGAAGGGGAGTCACAGCAGCCCTGATCATTACTCCCGCGTCCCCCTCCCCAGCCCTGGGGGCTCCAGCCGCGCGCGGGGCCAGGGCCCAGTCGGGCCGGGTGGTGGGGAGGGCGGTCTCCCCACCCCAGGAGCCGGGGCCCGCTCCCGCGCCCCTCCCCTGGGCCCGCCAGCGTCCCCGTTACCTTCTGGTTTCCTCGTCATCAGGCAGCTCGGGCTCGGGTTCGGCCGCCGTCGCCTCCGCCATTACCACATCGCACTCCGCGGCCGCCGCCATCTTACCGCCAGGGCCAGGGAGCCGGGTGGGGGGCGGGCTGTAAAGAGCACTTCCGGGCGCAGGAGCAACGAGCGGCGCCGCCGCGGCGGCCTGGCTGCGCCCAGAGAGGCTCTCTCGGGCTCGCCGACCGGCGGCAGGGCGCGCGGGCTGCCAGAGCGGCGCCGGGCCCCGTCTGGACGCTGGGGCCGGGGTGCGGGCCCAGAGGCGGTACCGGCTTGTCGGGGGAGCCAGCTTGGAAGAGGCTGCGGGGGCGCGGAGGGGGGCTCCGTATCCGTCGCCCGGGGGGCCGCGCGCTGGCCCTGGAGACGCGGCTCAGCCTCAGGGTTCTGAGGGCCCTGTCGCCATGGCAACGCCCTCGCGTTCTTCTCGCTGGACTCCGTGCGAGAGACAAGAGGAACTGGAGTGGCCCCGGGAGTCCGGCGGCGGTCGGCTGGCGTGCTGGGAAGGGTGGCCTTCGGAGCCCTGCCCAGCCAAGCCGGAGGAACGCGGCCCGCGCCTTTCATCCTCGCCCGAGATCCCCAAGCGCGGCGGGGGCCTCCCCCTCATGATGCTCCGACCTGTTTTATGGGCGGCTTTTCATGTGGGCCGCCCGGGAGTGCCACCTCAGCACTAACCCGGGGGTGCCACCTTTGGTTTATGGGGGACCCGCCGGGCCCAGGCCCCCACGCCCCTGCCCCACAGTAAACTCCCATCCCAGCAGCTGCTCTCACCCAGTCCACGCCACCCGACACTGATTCCATCGAGATTTAAAGTAACAAAAACGCCCCTCTCCCTGTAAATCCATGTGTCCAACTGATGCTGCCCCTGGCCCCTAAACTGTAAGGTACTTGAAGACAGGGATGCATAGACTACGAGCTCCTTGTGAGCAGGGATTGGTTGTTTTGTTTCCGTTTCCGTAGGTCCCCCAGTGCTTAGCATAGTGCCTGGTGCATAGCAGGCCTTTAATAGATGCTAGTTGACTGATCATATAGGGGGCTGGTTGTCCAACATCCAATTTAATTAATTCAGTTGAGTTCAGTGTTCAGTGAAATGATCCACATTATGTGGTGGAAAGAACTTTGGAAAGACCAAGGTTGAATGCTAGTTCTGCTACTAAATTTCTTGTGTGACCTTTGTGTCTAATTTGGCAAAAGGGAGTTGGCCTACAGTGATCTCTCCATCCAATATCCCCTCCAGCTCTAAAATCTAGGAGCCTCATGGAATTTATGACTTAAGTTTCAAGTCAGGTGTCACCTCCTACAGGAAGCCTACCCTGATACTTTCCAACCAGAAATTACCTTGTATATATATATTGACCTCACAATAGACTATATGCTTCTCCAGGGCAGTGATGATTTCTTTTTTTTTTCTCCACAGTTCCTTGTGGGGGTATTTAATAGTAGGTACCTAATGATACGTATTTAATAAATGTTTGGTTAAATGGATGAGTGAATCCTATCAACTTGTACAGTGCTGCAAACAAATTAAGGGGAATGGGAGAGCCGGTGCACCCTCTACCCCGTATCCTTGACCTTGAGATTGCCAGGGCCTTCAGCCTGGTACCAGACTCTCACTCTCATCCTTTTGGTCTTAAAAGCCCAAGAAATTTATGGACCATCCTTTCCCTTTCCTTTTTGGGGGGGAAAAAATCCTCAGTATCCACTCTAGTGGGAAAAGATCTTTGGCCCCCTCAGTCATAGCTTGTTCCAGATGACGTCCACCTCGTTTTCAGCCCCATGGCTCTAGAGGGAGCTGTGTTGCTTCGTTAGCATCCCTTTGCTTGCCCGGGCTCCTCTTGCCAGTTCGCCGGATGCTGGAGGGTGGGGATGATTGGGACGTTAAGGAAGGAAGTGGGAAGTTGCTTCTGTCGGCATCAGCTGCTGCTGCAGTTAGGAACTTATACCCGAGGAGAGACCCTCAGTAGGTAGGTAGCCTCTGTTAGCTTGCTTCAGGGTACCCTGTGCATCCAGGGTGGAGGGATGGTGCAGCATCCTACGACCACAGAGCACAGGACAAAAGGGACATAGACAGCAGTTATCACTCCCTCTCATCTCCTGCCCTGGTTGGGCAATAATGGGAGGCACAAAACAGGACACAGGCGCTCCTTGGTCAGTTGGTTTTCCCTCTTGGGCCTTGACCACGGCCTGCTGCTCAGCGCCATCGAGACACTCCCCAAATAAACCCATGATTCTGCCATCTAAGAGTCCTGGGGTTCTCTTTGCCTTTGATCTCTTTGCCCAGAGTTTCCTTTTTGGAGGGTCTCTCAGGTTCCACTATGGGGTCATAGATTTAGAACTGGGAACTCTTCTTTGTCTACGGGCCTGACTCTTGTCTTTCTCTGGGTCCATGGACCCCTTACTATGTGTGAGAGCCTTACCTCGGAGGTATCTCTGAGTTTAACCGTTCATGTTATATATCTCAGCAGCAAAATGACTCATACCACAACCAGCCTCCCCCCTGCAATCCCCCAATACACACACTCAAAGCCCCCTCCAATTCTTTGAGCTTTGTCTTCTGTAATCTTGACTCACCTCTCTAAATGCTCTTACTCTACACTGCTGGTTTGGCAGGCTCTGGGGAGCAAGGTGGAGTGGTTCTGGAGGGAAGCATTCCTTTCTCGGGCTAAACCCAAACGTCTGCCAAGGCCTCAATCAGTGCAGCATAGTCAGACAATTAAGTTTGGGATCATTTTTTCTTTAACATCAAAAGGAAGATGAGGGCTGAGATGTATAGATATTGTGGCCTTAGCAAATAGTCCCTTCTATATCCTAGTATTGTTGAGGTTTAGGGGTACTGGGACCCCAAAATCAGAACATGTGGGTCCTGCCTGAAAGAATTCTACGCAAGCCTTCTTTCAGCCAAAGACAAGGTTTATTAGAACATCTGTCATATTGGGCAGACTCTTACAGAGTCTGAATGTTAGTGAGCTATTGGCTAGATTGTAAGAATCTAAGAACCTTAATGGAGACAAGATAGACCTTATATACAGAAAAACTATGGGAGGGATCTAGGAGAGGCCAAGTAGTTTGGGGTGTCTGGAGGAGGGATCTAAGAAGATCTAGATGGGAGTGGCCAGTAAGTTGGGGTGAACAGAACTCCTGGGACCTGGACCATGTGGCCAAGGGAGAAGGCAGCCTAGCTAGGATTAAGGGTGGGAAATGACCGGGGGCCATAGGGAGGTAAGACAATGGAGGGCTAGGGTAGGTTAAAGGTAACAGAATTGGGAGATTGTGTGTAGCCACAATGCAAGGCCAGTTGATGGGATTATAGGGTGGATGCCAGAGATTTGGCCATGTGGAAAAGTCCAGGGTTTTTCCTTTCTGGGGTCCAGATCCCAACCTCATCAGTATGCAGAGAAAGGGGACCTATGCCTGGGGGTCACAGTAACCGTCACTCTTCCTACCTGTAAACCCATCATCTCAATGTTTTGAAGAGTCCCAATTCCCAGCGATTATATGTCAAATTCAGAACTTGAGTTCTGATCGCCACTCCCGTGTTGTGTTTTCTCCTCTTTCCCTGTTTTCTATCTAAGTGTAGCCTGTCTCCTCCCCAGAGTGGAGGTCTGTCCATGGGGAAGAGCTGCAAAGTGGTTGTGTGTGGCCAGGCATCGGTGGGGAAGACCTCGATCCTAGAACAGCTGTTGTATGGTAACCATGTAGTAGGTAAGTGCTGGGATTTGGGAAGGGGAGTGAAAAGGGACAACAATGGAGGTGCCAAGGGGGAGTTAGATCTCTCCTCCACACACATGCACAGCCCAGGGGCCAGCTCCAGGCATCTAGGTGGCTATGTGGAGTAAGCACATAGAAGTCAACATCATTCCATGTGGAATCGACCCTCCAGGATTGGAAGGAGCCCTCACAATGGAGTCGGAGGAAGAAAGCCCAGGGTCCCAGAAATGGTGCAGAAAAGCTTTAATTAGCAGGATATTTGTACATTGCTAATTATGTGTCAGGAGGCATTATGGCATGTCAGAATTGACATGAGAGCTGACTTGTGAGCCAGGAAGTCCTGGGTTCAGTCTCACCTCTGACTTGTACTGACTGTGGGACCTTGGGTAACTTACTTAACCTTTTAGTGCTCTGGGCAACTTTCTAAGACTTGAGTTGCAGAAAAGGTACATCTGACTGAAATTGGTAGAAGGAGTTTCCTCACCTCAGAGTTCCCTATTCCAATGAAATCACAGGCCCAGTCCCTATCACTAATTTAGTATCAGAGTGCACTCACATTAGTGATCCCCTAATCCTTGCCCCACATTCTTCAGTAGCGCCCCCAACCCCTACTTTTTTACCTTTTTTCACACTTAAATACCCCCAGCTTGAGGAAAGTCCCTGGTTGGGCTCTCAGGAAATACCCAGTTTTACTCACTGTTGTCCCATCATCCCTCTCAAAAAAAATGATAAATGGACTTATCCCCTTCCAGGTTCTGAGATGATTGAAACCCAGGAAGACATCTATGTGGGTTCCATTGAGACTGACCGAGGTGTGAGGGAGCAGGTGAGATTCTATGACACCCGGGGCCTGCGAGATGGGGCAGAACTTCCCAGGCACTGTTTCTCCTGTACAGACGGCTATGTCCTCGTCTATAGCACTAACAGCCGAGAGTCCTTCCAGAGAGTCGAACTGCTCAAGAAGGAGATTGATAAATCGAAGGACAAGAAGGAGGTATGAATTAAGCCATCATACACAACTCAGCCTTAGTAATGTAAATCACCTTAATGATAATGGTTTTAAGAATATTGATAACATTTGAAAACTGGAGGACAGGGTGGGGGAAAACTTTGGGAGAGGTGTGTGGATTGGGATTGAGAGGGTGGGAGGAGCAGTCTTGGAGGGGTGGGTGGGATGGGGAGTAGGAGGATGGAGGATAACAGGGATAGAATGAAAAGAGAGGCTAAGAAAGAAAATAGTAAAAATGAGAGAGAGGGAAATTCACAAATAGTAATTATAACTTTGAATGTGAATGGGTGTTTATAGCAGCTCTCTTTGTGGTGGCAAAGAACGGGAAATTTCGGGGATCCCTATCAAGTGGGGAGTGGCTGAATAAGTTGTGGTGTATGGTTGTGATGGAATACTATTGTGCTATAAAAAATGATGAGCTCATTGATTTTAGAAAGCATGGAAAGGCTTGAATTGACTTCACATGAAATGGTGAAGAGCAAAGTGAGCAGAAACAAGAAAACATTGTATACAGTAACAGCAGTAAAGGACATGTGAAGAAAGACACTATCTGCATCCAGAGAAAGAACTGACAGATTTTATATATACATGACTATTTGTGTCTCATGGTAGATCTGGGATGGGGTGGGGGAGAAGGAAGAAAAAAAGAAAAAAAAAGAATTTACATTATAACTTTTTTATGTATTTAAAAGGAATATCAAGTTGTACATAATAGATTTGTAGTTTCATGTGCAATCTTTTTTTTAGTCATAATATGTTATGGAAATGCTTATTTTATTCCATAAATTAAAAACAACATGAAATAAAAAAGGAGGTGTGGCAGGGCAGGGCTGCTGTGGGGAGACCCTAGGGGTTCGTGGAGGAGAGATGTGGTCATTGGCAGAGTGTTGTCAAGGGGCCAACTGCAGTAGGAGGCCAGCACTACTTCATCAGGGGCATGCCAGATCTTCCTTTTTTTGAACCTTCTCAGAGTAATGCAACAGCTGGTCAGCAGAGGTTCCTAGGGCAGTGCTCCCTTAGGCCTTCTAGTGGGGAGGAAGACAGTGGGGTCAAGCATTCCATGCAAAGCTCTCTCTGTAAGCCCCTTGCCACTATGTGGAGGGAAAGACAAAATATTAACCTGACTGCCATTTCACATATGGGCTTCATTGCTTTGTTTTCAGGGTGTTTCCCTCTTCAGGTTTCTCTTTAAGATTCAAAGGCTCCTGGAAGGAGGGGAGGGGAGGGGAGGGCTGTCACACTTTAATATCTTTAAGCTGGAACTGAGAACATCAGGGACTTTTGTTGTTGTTCAGTCATTTCTGACTCTTCATGACCCCATTTGAGGTTTTCTTGGCAAAGATACAGGAGTGATTTGCCATTTCCTTCTCCAGCTCATTTGACAGATGAGGAAACTGAGGCAAATAGGGTTAAGTGACTTACCCAGAGTCATACAGCTAGTAAATGTCTGAGGCCAGATTTGAACTTTGGTCTTCCTGACTCCAGGTCTAGCACTCTATCTACTATGCAACCTAACCACTCTCATCCAGCACCTTACTGGTTACATTATCAAGGATTAGCTGACAATCAGCAGAGAGAACAGGAATTGTGTACAAGGAAGGGACCAGGTGGGAAGGGAAGCATAAGATCAGTCTGAAGCACCATAAACAACTACTTAGAACCATTTCAGATGCTCAGATAATAGGACTGTAGAACATGGCATAGGATTGCTTGAGGCTGAACCAAGTTTTAGATTGGAGATAGAGAGGAAAAAAAATCCCAAATTCATCACCCAGACTTTTTTATCTTTTTTTATTAATTTATTTTGATGTATCAACAATCACTTCCATAAGCTTTTGAGTTTTAAATTTTTCTCCCCCTCCCTCCCTGCCTCCCTTCCCAAGATGGCATGCACTCTGATATAGGCTCTACATATTCATTCCTATTAAACATGTTTTCACATTAGTAATGTTGTAAGTAAGAATTAGAACCAATAGGAAGAACCACCAGAAAGA